AATTCTTAGAGAGAAGGTGAGGAAGTGGAAAGAGCTCAGATTAGAAACAAAAGGAAGAAACGGAGTGCATAAAGGAAGAGAGCGTGCGTGCACACTCGCCCACACCCTCACAAAAATCCCGGGGTGTGCGTGGACAAACACACTGCTCTGCCCATTCGCATGCAGGGCTCGAATGTGTGACGTGGGCGCGAGAGTGAGCCTTGGGCACACAACAGTCTGAACGCAGCACTTGCCACCACGATGCCAGTCCTCTCTAGTGTATCCGTGAAAAGCCTACGTGTTGGAAAAACATTCCAGAGGGGGATCACATATACACAGTTGGGGCCAGCAGCCACACTGCGAGCCAACAGCACAGGCCGTGTCTCAATTTCTCATACACGTTCCACAGGACTGAAAAAAAAAAAAAAAAAAAAAACAGAGTGGGCTGTTTCCAAAACTAAAAATGAAACAACCTTATCAGGAATAATGCAAATGTGAGAAAATGTGTAACCAGCTGCAGCACTGTGTAAATAACTCCAGCAAAAAGAGTGTGACTATTTTCACCTGCGTGTTTTAACCGCGTAATCTGTCGAATCAAAACGCAAAACATTTGCTGAGCACGAGTGTTTCCATTCGAGCTGCTTTTTAAAAAAGCGACTGCAATATTTCACAGATTTAGCCGAAATCTAATTTGTAAATTGCGTTTAATGGCTTGCGGTCGCCCCTGCTTTTTGTTACGAAGAGTCGTCATGCTGTGAAAATAAACCTGAAGGCCCGAGGATCTGGAGCCAGCAATGAAAACCTCTGCGTTGCCGAGCCGAGGGCTTTCTCTCCACCGTCGCTGATTAGCATTCCCGACTGACTGACATGTCCCACTGGCTGCCTCACAGGCGGCTTTAGGAGATGAGGTTAAATTGTGGCTACCAACAAATTGCACGCTTGAGTTCCTCTGCACCCCTCTGCTATCATGCAGTGTAACGTGAGCGCACCAGGCAGATCCCTCTGCAGATCCTTCTCCTCCACTGCACAACAGCTCCCCCACTGAAAGCCACAGAGACCTCCTTCCACCTCCCTCGCCAGCAGTCTGGCCTCTGAAGTGGCGATGGGCATTACGATGCCTGAGCCTCCGTGGCTGCAGAGTCCAACTGCTGCTCGCCCTGCGACCCATCGTCGGTGATAAAACTGGATTATCTGCTCAAAAAGATGTTTTAATAAAGAACCCCTGATTTAAATAATGCACTATAAATGAACTAAAATACACAGACGCAACAGACTTACAGCTGCGGGTGCTGTCAGATTATTTAAGAATGTAAACGTTCAGATTGAGCCAGAACAAGGAACCTAACTGTTGCAGTGATGCAGATCAACTCACTCCATCAGGTGTTTTGATGGTTTGTAGTGTATTGGTGGTGGTGGTGATGGTGGTGGGGAGGGATAGTTAGCAAACCATGAGATGACGGATGATGCATCCTAGTGTGCTGCTGGGACAGGCCGAGCCGTGTTGACATAAAACCCAATACTTCCTTACAAAGGAGCGGGGCCAGCTCCAGCTCCAGCTCCTCACTGAGCAGCCGAAATCCCAGCGAGCTGAAGCAATATTATCTGCCTTTGTGTTTCTAACATTAGACTTATCTCTCTGCAGAGGTCTTCATTTATTTACCCAAGAGCAGGGGCTATGGATGACCTTTTTATCCCCCCCCCCCCCTTTTTTTTGGTGGGAGATCTTAAGATAAAAAAGAAAAAAAAAGTAGCTGAACGTGAGAAAATGTCCCTGAAAGGAAGACTCGAGCTACCGTCATTAACTCCAAACCTCCTCAGCTGGGTTGACAACAGCAGCTACATCCTAATGTTTTCTTCTTCTATTCTTAGTGTGCACGAGTGTTCACAGAGGTAACGCAGGAGGAGTGAGTCCAACACACACACACACACACAGAAAGTCAGCCGTCAGCATCTCTCTGGCACACACTGCTGCAGCGTCCCGAGCGCAGCTAATTAAAAAACAACAATTTCACAGGAGGGCACTCCAAACAGTTCTGAACAGCAGCTCTCAGCACACGGGGGGATCTCACAGAATACAGGGGGAGGTGAGACAGGTTCTGCTTTTATGGCTTCATCGCTGCTCTGTTTTCCTCACGGTGACCTGAATATAATTTAGCCGTACAATACGCACACTTGATCTAAATAAGTAAATAAATAAATACATAAATAAAGTGTGGTTTATTTTCTCAGTCTGGATTATTTCAGGATAACCCCCCCCCCCCCAAAAAAAAAAAAACTCCACTCTGGAATGCAGCAGCAGGAGGCCGAGCAGCGTAAAACAGTCAGTAAATGTTACGTTTCGGAGCAGGAGCTGGTTTCTAACGAGGCAGGGGTGTTGTCCAACACTTGGGCTGTGTGATGGGCCTTATTACAGCTCCCTTCAAAACGTCTGCTTGGTTAGAGCAGAAAAATCCCTGTGGGGAAAGATCCCCCCCCCCCTTCCTAATGATGTATAATTGACCTCTAAACACCAGGGCACAACAAACTCTCCTGGAATGGTGTCACTCCACTCGGCCTTCTACATACCGCTCGTCTCGTCCGAGCTTGTTCCTCCTCTACGGCTACGGCTGTCAGACGGCTGACACCACCACTGGCCTTCAGCTTTTCCAGACATGAAGCAGCCGAACGAACTCAGACTCGGTTCCTTCGTCTGCTTGGATATTTTAAAGCTTCCGCCTTATGCTTGTCCGTTTTGTGCACATGCAGCTGCACGACTCAAAAAGGTTCAGCCAGTCTTGTTACGGTATAATTGCAACGCGGAGAGGAAGGTGTTTTGAACTGGGTTTGTGGGAGTTTTTAATAAAACAGTACACAATTGTTTCCCCCCGTCTGCACTTTAACCTGTTCCAAAGGTGCAGAAGAAGCCTGCTTGCCAATTCCTTGATTTATTGTAGCCAGCGAGAGCTGATTACAGGGCATGAATCAGTCGCTGTAGGAATGTAATTAGGCACGAAGACCTCTGTAAGGCTTGGAGCTCTCTTCACAGCCCAGAGCACTTTGTGGGCTGACAAATGAATCTTAAATGGGTGTCATAAAAGTCAAAAAGGTGCCAATTACACCTTTAAGTATCGCATCAACGAAAAATGGAACAAACATTTCAATAAATGAAACGCTCGCCTCGGTGCCACACAGACTCTCTCGGCCTCGGAGGGGTTAAAGAAGAGACGGATTTGAAGATAAATAAAAGTGCGTGAGAGCAGAACGGCGCTCCGAACCTTGCTGTGTGTGTGAGAGTGTTTTTTCTTTTTGACTGAGGAGAGTTGCCACACAAGCTATTCAAAGCAGGAAAATAAAGAAGGAAATGTTTGTTTTTGTCCCCTCAAATATGCATTTAAGGGAATATGTCAGGAAAGAATATTTAGCACATGCAAAATGTCTCATGCATGTGTGTTAATGTATCTTTTTTTTTTATTAAACAAATAAAAAACGTGCAACAGGCAGGGGAAAGAGATCCTGCCGGCCTCAGCTCCCACCTCTGAGCCGTGACGCCGGGGTTCTGGTCTCCCCGGGATACTGCGATGAATTTTCCTTTGTTATCGGCCAACTACACTGATGTGGCAAAGCTGGATGAATGGCACGCATGGCAATAGATGTAACTCTTTGTGGCCTTTGCAAGGTGTCTAGCAGAGAGCCATAATGTCCCGGTAATCGAAGGAGGGTTGATGAAAAGGCCGGACAAAAAAATAAAGCTGAAATTTGGTGACAAGCATGAAAAGCCCTCATGCATTAAGGAGCACGGAGCAGCCGGGGGTCTGCAGGCCTAAACTGCACAGCGATTCAATTTATCCCCCATTTCTGCTGGGATTATGTGATCATTTAATCGTTTAATTTAGTTATTCATCCCACTTTGTGCTGAATACTAAAACAACTTTTTTTTCATTTAAAAATAAAACAAATTGAATATTGATATATTTTTTGGTAATTTAATTAATTATCTTTTGTGATAAAACAAAATTAAAATGTACAAATACTGTCATCTGTAACAGGTCAATTAAAATAAAAGGAATTTGAGCATAATTTAAAAAAATAAATAAAAGTAATTTAATTAATTTGATTTTCACAATTATATTTTAAATTTACCAATATGGTATAGCTATAAAATGAGCACGTTAAATTTATTCATGAAGTCAAATTGGTTTTCTTTTGATGGATAAAATAAAAAAAATATAAAACATTTTTACAAACAACACATTTAAAAAAAAAAAACAAAAAAAAACAACAACAACTAGTATTTCAGACTTTTCCCACCTAATTTTAAATGATGTGTAAAATTAAGATATTTTAAATTCAGCATTTAATTATTTTTACAGTTTTTTTTATTTACTTTTTTATTTAACGCGTTTTTAATGCGCGTGCGTGCATCGCGCGAGCACAAACGACTTTGCCTCATTATTCACTTTAAATAAACATTTAAATAGTCGCAGGCTGCGGATTTTCCAATTTAAATAAAAACAATTAACAGTAAAAAAAAAAAAGTATTTCCCATGCAATAACCCGCGATAATATTTTTAAATAAATGAGCAAATAATAAAATATATTTCTAATATTTTCAGGCATTGACGAAACGAAGATCAGAAACTTTGCAGCTTTTAAAGAAGCTTTTTTTTTTGCATTTATGGAGCAAACTGTTCAGTGTGAGCCGGTCAGTGGATCACATCTTGTTTTTAATGAATTAACTCATTTATTTATTTCTAACGCAGGAGCACGAGCGGAACAGAGGACAACAAGAGATGGGCCTTCAATAAATCACAATCATAAATAAAAAACAACAGGTCGCTTTTATCAAATATGTTGAGGGGGGGGGGGGGGGGGGGGTTAAAATTTAAATGCGTCTTCCAGGATGAGTGTGTGTCGGAGTGTTCCCCAACAAAACACACACACTTCCTCTTGTTTTAATCAGTGCACGGAAACAAGACGAAGAAGAAGAAGACGAAGAAGAAGAAGACGAAGAAGAAGAAGTTCTCCTGCGGCCATGGTCTTACTGTTGGTAGTCGTGTTTGCAGTAGAGCTTCCTCTCTCTGAAGTAGCAGCTGGTGGTGAGGGGCTGCTGACACACCGTGCACTGCAAACACTCCTCGTGCCACGACGAGTCGTTGACGCGCATCAGGAAGCGGTCAGAGATGGGCCGCTGGCATCCTTCACACACCGACCTGTGGGGACACTCGGAGCCTGCAGGAGGACATGGGGGGGGGGGTCAGAGGGGGTCCTGCATTAACATCTGCAGCTTCACATCCAGAGGAGAAACTGGCTCCTCTGACTCCTGTCAATCATTTTCTAATGGCGCCTATTGCACTTGTTTGAGTTGTTTCCTGCATCAGCACGAGCCACTAATATCAGGAAACAAGCGATCAATAATAATAATAATAATAATAATAATATTGATGGTGATGATGATGAGGGGCTGACCCAGCATGACTCCCAGCGCGGCCTGTCCGGATCGCAGCGGGTGATCCTCGAGCTTGATGCCGTCCAGCATGACGCGCGTCCCGGCCTGTCCTCCCGCGGAGAGGCGCTCCACGGACACGAGACCTGCTGCGATATCCATAAAAACACGATGAGACTGTTTGGAAAGTCCTTCACTCCGAACTGTGTTCCTGCTGCTGCACAGGAAGGAGCTGGGAGCGCGGAGGAGGAACTAAACTGAAGTGGGAGAAAGAGAACTCGCTGCAGTTAGAAGGAGGAGACACGAGTCCAGGGAGAGACAGAGCAAAGATCGACTGGGAAAAACAAAAAGGAGGAGAAGCCTCCGAGGAGTCACCTGTTGTGTTCAGAGGAGCGAGGGGAGCTCCTTGTTCTCCTCCGTGAAGCCGCCGGGAGAGAAGGAGCTGCACAACACCGAGTGACAGTCTCACCGAGGAGGAGGCGACAGGAGGAGGAGAAACAACAAGAAGAGCAGCAGGAACAAAAAAAAAAAAAAAGGGAAAAGTTGACAACAGATCCAAAGATAGGAGCGCGAGGACATGCAGATGTCCTGCAGGAACTGATCGCGAGGAACAGACGGCGGCCCCTGCTCTGCACAAAGTCTGAGCGAAGACTGAAGACAGGGGCCCCTCCTCCTCCTCCACCTCCTCCACCTCCTGCTGCTGCTGCATGGCTACACTGTCCTATTCTCTCCATTCACTGACAGCGGGGCTCCATTGGACACATCGATTATAACAACAACAACAACAACAACAACAACAACAACACTACTAATAATCATTGTACATTTTAACAGTGATGAGGTTTTAGAAAAGTTCACTCAGAGTTCTGTTAGAATAAAAAGCAAAAAGAGAAATATTTATTATGATAAAGTTTTGCGTTTGTGTGTGTGTGTGTGTGTGTGTGTGTGGGGGGGGGGGGGGGGGGGGGGGGGGGTCTTGGACCATCACAGGCTCTCCTTTGTGTTTCTGTCTCCTGTGGAAGCTGTGGTGCACCTGGTGATCAGTGGTGATAAGAACAGGCCTCTGGCTCACAGAGATGAGCAGCCTTCCATCACACTGGAGACAAAAAAAAAAAGGCAACAACAACAATAAAAATGATGATGATGATGATAATGGAATAATAAGAATAATTATGATAATAATAGTAGTAGATACAGATGCATTTGGATCAGTTTTAGAGATGCATTTTCGTTTTTAATTTTTAAAAATTTCCTCACAAAATTAATAATTAAGAAAAAAACTCAAAGACCTCAGAGTGAAAACGTTCACAATCAGCCAGTATTTTATTATTTTAATATTTATATTTTCTAACCATCTGTTATGTGATCATGAAGATGATAATGGAGGATCTGATGCCACAACTAGTAACTGGTAGTAAATTTACTTGCAGCCTCTTA